GAACAGGAAAATCCTGTGATTGTCATGTACACACATTCCCCTTCCAATTGGGGTTTAGTGAGTGGCTGAATTCACTGCCACTTGTATGCCTTTATTCATCCATTCTGTCTGAAGCCTTATGGTCACAATGGAAAGGAATAAACCTGGGATAAGTAGGTAATAAAGGAAAACATTGCATGTGCAGAGGAGGGGCCATTAGAAAAGAAAAGAAGGAAGAACAAGTAAAATGAGACACGAAAACACTAAAGCAAACCCAAACTATTAACATAACTGTTTCAGTTCACTGTCTGTTATTCTTAGGTGAGTAGGATCAATGGTCTTTAAAATCTTTTTATATTGATCCTTGTATATAGGGGGATTTTACTTTACAAATAGCCTGCTCTGTCTTTTGATCTGTATAACCTGGATCATGTACTGAGTCATTTTAAAAAATCCTTTTGTCCTTATTTGGTAGGTCATAGTTCTTCTACCGCTATGAAGTATTTCGCTGATATGAAGCTAATTTTGAACCAGCATTTGTTCTTGGAAGTGCAAGACCAAAGATCAGAGATGTGATACAACTGGCATGAAAAAGTTGTAAACTGAATTAAATATGTGGGAGAGGTTCTTTGGGAAGAGAATATACAAATGCCAAGTCTATATCATCAATGAGATCAATGAACAGCATCGAAGATGATAGTAATATGCGCAGTGATGTACACTGTATGCTTCAAATAAAAGAAGAACTCCAATAATAACTCAAAACTACTAAAAAGGTCTAATTCTCTCAATCTTCTGGATGTGATTTCACAAAATGAGATGCTATATCCAAGCCCACTATGCTTTCCTTGTTTCCATACATGTCACATAGCTTTCTTCAGAATTCCAAAAGGGAGATAGTTTACTCTGGGAGTTAAAAAGCTTAACCTGATCTGTGTAGATCTTGACTTCAGTCTTTAGAAGTCTCCTCTTTCAGAAACTTTGTTATTTCAGACTGCACGTTTCTCAACCAGTTGAAGAATGTTATATTTATTTCCATGCCCTTTCATATATTTCTTTTGTTCTTTCCTCCTTTTTCCTAACTCGATTGGTTACTTGAATGCTTCCTTTTTCACTCAACTTCAGCTGTTTTCTTAAGTTCACACTTGATTCATTGTTTGCCTGCACACTAACTTTAGGCACAGACATGTCTCATTAAACACTTTGCATTTCCCAAGTGTGTTCTCTCTCTCCATTGCCTCATCACCTTTCATTGCCACCCTTCAGTTCCTGTGACCTTCCAAAATGCCCCTTCTTGTTTTGTCTCACATTAGTCCTAATTGTCCCCCTGTGTGTTGAGCCTTAGCAACAATTGCTGTACAGAACTAATGCACAAGATGAGTTTCAAGAGCACAGCTAGGTCTTCTTCTAGTTGAATTTTTTCTGGATTACCTAAGATGATGAGCGTTCTCTGAACTCAGGACAGACTGCTCTATGGAATACTTTCATGAAAGATTTTTTTATTAGAACTTTGTTCCTAAGGAGGAAACAAGAAGCTCACACAATGCATCTGCAAGTTTCTTCTTTGGGATCACCATTCCTTTCAAGAAAAGAGCAATGCAGCTATATGTTTTCCTGGCAAAAAAATATCCCTGCACACAAAGCAGTGAAAAGTGATATGACAATTAGAGTGTGGAAGTGAGACTGCCAACACCTCCAACTACTGCTGAACCAGGGGAAAAAAAAGTAGTTCATGCCAGAAAAAAATAAATGCAAAGTCAGTCTGCAGCTCTGGCCTAAAGAAAACATCCCAGCAGCCACCAAAACAGGCACTGAGGCAAATACTACAATACCTCATGGATTAATTAATACTCCAGTGTTTTATGCCCCAAGTGCTGGACCTCTGTAGCCTCAGACACGCAATGGATTCAGTAATGCTTACTGATGGCACAAGATATTCCTAATAAGTAGTGAAAAACAGAAGTGGGGGCCAACCATGCAGGGGCTATAGGATTGCTTAAGGATAAGAAGTACTCTGCATTGTAAAAATTGAGAGAGATGCTTTCTCTTGATTTCTAGCTAAGTTTTGTATCTGGATCACAATGTCACAAAAACTAGCAGTCTTGGGGAAAAAAGTCCTCTACCAGCATACTTCGCAAATGACCTCAAGGCCCAGGGTCCAGCACTGCTAGAAATAACTCCCCGCACTGTTAGCTTTTCTATCATTTAAAAGTCAGTGGCTGTCTCAACTTCTGTCGGGGAAAGGGGAAGA